ATATATATATATATAATATGTATGTGTGTGATATTAAATTATCCATTCATTATAAACTTAAACTATTAAACAAGAAGGCCGAACATAAAACGAAAATTTTACTTAAATAATATTTTTTTTTTAAAAAAAATTACAAAAATATCAACTGTGCAGGTTTATTTACCAATGTAGAACTGTTTACTGTTCATGCTCAGAATTCGGTTCCCCGGGAACCGAATTCTGAGATTCAAAATCTTATTTTTTTTTTGTTTTTTCAACTCAGAATTCGGTTCCCGGGGAACCGAATTCTGAGTTACTTTAAATTTTTTTTTTTTCGTGTTTTTGGCCCATTTTGGGCAAATTTTGGAAGTGGAACGGCCCGTTCCGAAAGCAGAACGGGCCGTTCTGCTTAAAGACACAGAGGCCTTTTTACGGCCATGCAACGGCCCGTTCCGGAGGACGTTTTCAGGAAGTAGACCTTGGTTTGGAACGAGCCGTTCTGGTTTTGGAACGGCCCGTTCTGGGCAAACAGTAAACAAAAGATTAAATTTTATTTTTTTTTTTTAAATAAAAATAATAAAATTAACATAAAAATTATAATAATATCAATTAATCAGGATTCATGAAATAATATTTAATATTAATGTTTAGAAGTTAAGAAACATTTAATATCAGCTATAAATAATATATTTAGACAATCACTTAAGATAATATCTGGCGTTTAAAACGTACAATTATCCCTGAACTATAGAGAATATATCTGAGCATAAACAGTAAACAGTTCTACATTGGTAAATAAACCTGCACAGTTGATACTTTTGTAATTTTTTTTAAAAAAAATATTATTTAAGTAAAAATTTCACATAAAACCCAGTTCATTTGTGGGGGCCCAAGATTCGATCTCTCTAAAAACGGGCCTATATTTTTCAAATCAAAAGCCGCCCCCAACCCGTTAATTTTGAAGAAGCTCGGAGTCGAAGACACGAGAGTAAGGATGGGCTCGGTGGCAGTGGCGGTAGCGTCAATGTTGTTCGCAGGCGGCTGCCGGAGCCTCGCCGTGCCTGCGGCGGCGCGCGCCCTTCGCGTCTCGCGAGCAGTTCTCAGCTATCGCCAAAACAAGCAGGCTCCGAGTTGGTGCTGTCGGAGTTCACACAACAGTTACACCGCACTCGCCGATGAATCTGAATGCTCAACAACCGACGCCGGAAACTTAACCGCCACTTCTTCTTCCGATAGGTGCCCAAACATTCTCATTGATTCTCCAATAGGTATTATCTTTCAACTACTTTCGCATTTTGCTTGATACTGAACTTGCTTCTGTTTAAGTTTCCCGAACTATGACCGGTTGCTTCCATGTCCTTCGCACAAAACTCCACCGAGAATTGAACACCTAGTCGTAACCGAAGGAGGACCTGTTTTAGAGCACATTTGCAAGGCTCTCGATCTTCCTCCTTTGTAAGTGTGTTTTTCTGTGCCTCTGCGTAACATACGATTCGTTAATTTCTTGATATAAATTGGATTAAATGCCATGTTTCATTCTGTGAAGGTACGTTTCAGATCTGATCCAATTTGGAGCTGTGTACTATGCTCTTGTTTGTCCGCAGCCTCCTCCGAATGCTACTGAGGAGCAAATTAGGATATTCAAAGAAGTAACGGAACCTTCGGTCTTGCGCAAAAGAGCTTCCATCAAAGGAAAAACTGTGCGAGAGGCGCAGAAAACTTTCCGCGTAATTCACGTGGATCAATTTGTTGAGCCAGGGACGTATTTGCGAGTGCATGTCCATCCCAAACGTTTTCCTAGGTACAATCAGAATGCTTGTTGGAATTGGCTTTGAGATTATGAAGGCAAGATATTGTTTGACATTTCAATTCGTTTTTTAGGTGTTATGAGATTGATTGGAAATCAAGGATCATAGCTGTGGCGGAATCCTATGTAGTTTTGGATAAACCTGCTGGTACATCTGTACGTAATCAATCCCTCAATATGAAATCAAATTTTTTTTTTAATTCTCGTATATGTGCCCAATGTATTTGTTTTTGTAATTTTGTATGCTAGATAGACAGATAGTGCGGCATCTTGAAAATTTTATAACCAATGGTCATGTGTTCTACATCTAGTGAGTGAAAATTGTTATTTAAAGTAGGCTTAGGCTAATTGGCTATTTTCCCGTACTTTTAGATTTCTGTAAATCTTCCGCTGTTTACCAAAATTTCAGCTTCAGCATACTGTAAACTTAATTGCACTGTATCTAACATTAAGATAGGTTAGACTAGTCGAATGTATTGGTTATAAGATAAGATGGAATTAGAATTTAGTAGGCTGAAAATTAGGTTTTATAAGGTGATTTAAGTTTGAGAGATGGTAAGTGCGTTGGGGGCAAAGAACAAGGGTAAAAAGATTTTAAGTTGAAGGTGTTTATCTGGCTAAGGGAAGCGTAGTACCTGAGACCTGAAACCTACGATAACATAGCTTCAGGTTTGATTGCTTGGTTCTAGGGTAAATGCAAACCAGGAGGAGCTGCATCTTTTAGGGAAGGATGTTTAGCACTTTTTGTTAAATCTAATTAGGTTCGTGTTTAGAATTTTTTTAGAAAATAGCATGAAATAGCATGAAAGTTCAGAAGAAGAAAGTTAGTTTAAGTTTTACACCTAGTGTTTCCTTAATTATCGATTATCACTTAAAGTGAACATTGTATCTGAAAGAAATCATTATCACCGTTTTAAATAGATTTCCAATAAATTATTTTATAAAGTATAAGGTATTAATTCCTATGAGGATTTATGCTTTATAATCTAGTAAGGAACACTTTAGCATCAAAATAAAATTCTGAAGCACCCTACTAATGTCACTCCAAGGTTATATACAACCCAATATCTGTTTTTTACAAAATATATCGTAATACTGCAAAAATTTACAAAATGCCATTTAATTAACATAAAACACCATAAAAGCCCTCATCAAAATCCTCAAAGATTGTTTATTTCTTTCTAGAATAGGTGAGATTTAAAATGTCTTTTCTAAGTTATAATTCTTATCCTCCCAATTTCTCCATCTTTTGAGTCTTTTAGGTCCATTCACTTGCATCCTTAACAAGGAAGAATGATATTGTGAAACAATGTTTAATATAGATATAGCAATCTCAATAATTTATATATTTTGATTGATTTGAGGTTTGATGCTTTATATGTGAAGAAAAGTATCAAACAGTAATGGTCATCTTTAAGGTGGAGTATGTTTACTTTATTCAGGTTCTATTCTAGCCTTGAATGGGTTATACCTTTTTTTGGGTTTAATAAGGAGGTATAGTTTTTTTCCATTGGGTTGACTCTTATAGGAATAAAGTAGTACCTTCAGTCACGTCTTCATGCTCAAATCAAATATCAAACCCTAATCTTTGGTTATGGAATGCCAAATCACTTGTGTTAACAATCTTTGGTAAATGGATTATACCTTAATTATAATTACTAATTGTCTAATTTTGAGACTCAACAACTTTTTTATGTCTTTAAATTTATTGATATATTTACATGATTAATTAATTAATTAATTATTTAGGGGTTCTCTTAATTATTAAATCTTGGTTAGGTTGGTGGCACTACTGACAACATTGAAGAAAGTTGTGCAACCTTTGCAACTCGTGCCTTGGGAATGACAACCCCTTTGATAACTACCCATCAAATTGATAATTGCACTGAAGGCTGGTATTGCATTTATGTTAAAAGTAGTTACTGCTCCAGTGCACCTTGTCATTCTGACCGCCAGACACAGAGATAGTAATGGAATGTTATTTACATGCAGCGTGGTATTGGCTAGGACCAAAGAGTATTGCTCTGTTTTTCATGGCAAAATCAGGGTATGTCTATGTTGTCATTTCATAACTTATGCTAGAATAACCTTCTACTGTTCTTATACTACATGAAAAGGCACACTCCTATAAGGCATGAGCTATTTGGTCTTCATCATGAGATGGGGTTCTATTGTATAAATGAGTTCCTTTTTCACCAAGTGAAAATAAAAATTAATTTAATCTTGTATGCATTGTTCATGTTATTTAGTACTCGTGCAATCACTTTTTCAGGAGAAAAAGGTGAAGAAGCTCTATCTTGCTCTTGCAGCATCTCCTTTGCCAACTGGAATCATTTCCCACTATATGCGTCCTATTAACATGGCTCCTAGACTTATTTCTGAAGGTAAGCACATGAGTTGTAGTGATTAGCAAATAATGATTGTTCTAGAAGTAGCTAAATAGTGATAATGAAGTGTGCTTCCGTTAACCCTGTTTGTTTTAGTAGTTTTCAGGAGAAGCCAAAACCATGCCTCATGGTATTGGTGGCTCATAATCTTAACTTGGGACATTTAGCTTTTGATGATCAATATTCCACCCCTTGAAAAGGAATAATAGAAGATAGAGTGATGCTCTTAAGAATAATATATTTGTTTTAAACTACTTAGATGGAAATTGACATAGTATTTACTTTTCAACCATGTATACTTTGCTTAGGTGCATAACCCAAGATAGAAATTAGTAAACTAGTCAACATTAATGATTGTTATGTTCTTTGACTGAGTATAATTTGAATGGTTTAGCCTAGCCTAGTGTACTACAGCAGCATGATGTGTCAATGGACGAGACATTTCCATCAAAAGTTAAATTTTGAAACATTTGTTTGCTATGTGACATGGGTAAAAAGTTTCCAAAAAAGGGTCTTGTATTGTGGATTCAACCCAATAGGTTTATTGAGTGCAGAATTCATCAAGGGATGGCATCTGTGTCGACTTGAGGTCATAGAATGCAGAAAGGTTCCCTGGCCAACTACTGCTGTTCAAGACAAGTATTGTATTGAAGACTGTGGGTGGCCTTCTCAAGATTATGCCTATGAGTGCAAAATCAACCTTCTTACTGGTCGAACACATCAGGTGTGTTAGCTGTCATTTTATGTATTGTTTGTGTTTTTACCAAAGGGTTTTTATTTTGTTAATAAGCATGTGTCAGCACATTAGAATAAATAAACAGGTGATAAATTCAAAAAATTAATGAAGATATAGTTGAGTGATATTTCTAATCCTCAAGTACTGATAAGCAATTCATGTCCTACTTTATTGTACATCTCTTTTTCTTGTCATGCCATCATGACCTGAACACTGTTTAGTGTTTACCAGCTATCCTTGTTAGTTAACAATTATTCGACTGCTACAGTTGATAAAGGGTTCCAGTAAAGTATATGTTTCTTGCCATTGTTGGGTCTCTAATATTGGAATATACTTGTGGCAAGGAGGGTTTTAATATAAAAATATGTTTTGTACCTGAATAGTAACTTAAATTTTAATGCAGATTCGAGCTCAATTTGCTGCATGCAGGGCACCATTAATTGGTGATTCCATGTATATGCCAGCTGCAATTGCGGATATCAGTAATCCCGGACTTAATCCATTTGGAAAATACAAGAAAGATTTCAGTAGTGAGAGTGAAAAGGAAACCGCTGTTATGAATTGGATTTCACAACATGGAAAAGAGCCGAGTGTTGCAATTGGCCTTCAAGCATGTCAAATTTCATGGGATGACGATGAACACTTTTACCAAGCTGGTTCACCTTGGTGGAGGAGTTAAAATGCTTGAAATGACTGCTGGAGTTGAGGACAGGGATCACCTTTATAGTTATGTTTTCATCTTGCCTCAATTTTACGTGAGTATACTATCATTTAAATCGAAAACATACTGATTCGGTGTTACAACTGATTTCTTTGCCTGAAAAATGAAACGTTTTTATATTCAGATGCAGATATTCAACATGTAGAAGAGCGGCCATGGATCACTCTTAGTCTGTAACCGTATGATAGTTTCTCCTTCTGCCGGGATAAGAAAGCAATATTTCCCTGAGGTTGTAGAGGAAGGTGATGAGACTGTTGCTGGTTTGAAGAGACAAACCCAAATAAAAAGGAAAGAAAAGGAGCTCCATATAGGGATTTAAATTGTGCATGCTGTCATATAATGGTGAGCCTGGTAGCATCCTGTCTAGCATAATCAAGTCTGAACAGGTAAACCAGAGGATAGGATATTCACGGATAATTGGATAAAGTCTTTTCGAGAAGAGAATTTAGTTTATATATTTTAGTTTTACTAGGAGAGATTGAAGAACTGAGAAAATGTCACTACGTATTGGAAACATCTGATTAAGTTTTGTTATTAACGCCTTAAACTAAGGTCAATCTCAAAATGTTTGTACAAACATTTCCCGTTTTGGCTAGGGAGTCTTATTTATGCTCAACAATCAGTTGCTTGGACTAAGTAGCTTGTGATTTTGCCATTTTGGAGTTCTCTTCAAACTATTTTATTCAACCAAATTTTATGGGAGCATCTCATTGTAGTCATGCCGTGCGATGAACAAGCAACGCATCCCTTATAGTGTGTTTGGATGAGAAATTTAAATAGAGTAATTCATTTATTTGAAAATTTTCAAATTTTTTGAGGTGAAATACCTCGTTTGGATGAAGAATTTATAAGGAATTTGAAATTCAAGCATTTGTGAAATTCCTTGAAATAATAGAATTTCAAATTTTCCCAAAAAAGTAAGAATTTGAAATTCCTCATATTTTTTTTTCTTATTATTATTTCACTTATATATTTTATATTATCTCTTATCTCTTCATATTTTTAATTATTGAATATTCAAAAATATTTTTAAAATTATTAAATATTATCTAATATTAATTTTTAAAATTATTAAATATTTAAAAATTAGCTAATATTTATTTTTATAAAATTTAATTTAAGAAGCTCAACATATAAATATATTTTAAAATCAAATTTACCATGGTGGAATCAAATTATTATATCCAACCCAACAATTTAAAATTTGATAAATTTGAATTGACTTATTCAAACAAAATATTTTAAGAATGATGAAAAATGAAATCAAAGTAATTCAAATACCAAAAACTTAAAATTCCTTGAATTTGTAAAATTTATCATCCAAACATACTATTAGGCTTTGTTTGGGGTACGAGGAGGAGACAATGAAAGAAAATAGGTGAAAATTAATTTGATAAAAAATAAAGTGAAATCTATAATTGTTTAATTGAATAAAATTAGATGAGAAATAAAATAAAGAATTTTTTAATTAATTTATATTGAATTAAATAAAAATTAAATTAATAAATTTTAGGATATTTAATATTTTTTTTTGTTTCATCTATTTATTTATTTATATATTAATATCATTATATTTATATTTTTAGTCTTATATTTAAATTATTTATTTTAAAAATTAATAAAAATCATATAAATATAAACAATTACATAAGATAATTGATTATGTTTATTATATCTATAACATCTAATAAAAGAAATTGTTCAAAATAAATTTATTATAATAAACTTGTAGTCATGTTTCATGAAGATGAGAAGAAAAAAGAAAAAAACTAAGTGGCACCATGATAAACAGTTTCGTGAAGATCGACGAAAATGAAAATCGACAAAGTTTGAAGTATGAACAAGAACTTTCACTCAGTTCTTCTCATCTTTTTGGAGAATTATTTTATCACGGGTCTCGCAGTTTTAATACCTCCTCTTTCTTCTTTTTCTATTACACCAAACATGAGTCTTCCTCTCTCTTCCCTTTGATTCATCACACATCTTTCCTCCTCTCTCTCTCCTCCTTCCGAAGCAGCATTCTCAAACGGACTATTAGTATTTATTATTTTCAAGTCAATTGATTATATTTTGAATTTTAATAAGATATTTATAGTTTTTTCGTTTATTAAACTAAAGAATGCACACGTCATTCATGACAACCATAATTTTTATTTCATTTTTTCTCCTTTTAATGCCAAACAAGATAGTGAAAATCTGGTTATTAATTCGAATCTTGTCATTGTAAAATGAGTAACTTAAGTAATATTTTAATTTTGTTAAATATTTTTATATATTATCAATTAGAGTTAAAGGAGTTTTTTGACACTTAAATTAGGTTCCTATTCTTAATTGTAATTCTAAATTTTTTGTTTTATAATTCTTAAATAAGAACGTAAATTGAAATAACATCTTCAAAATTTTAAAAATAACATGTCCGTGTATCACATGGGTCACTGCCCTATTACCATATATAATTTTTTTCCTTTATAATGTTTGAATCATCCATCTAAAGTTTTATAAAATATGACTCCGAATCATAATCATATGTTGAATCCAAATAGTTTGTTGTATTATATTACAAATGAAAATTAAGTTATGTATACACAAGTTAAAAAAAGAAAAAGGGGGGAGGCAAAGTTAAGCTTTATTTATGTCCCCCACAAATCAAGCTAAATCTTTTAAATTTAGCTTTTTCAAATAACTGATTAAAGTTGTTTGACATAATTAGTTTCATGAGGCAAAAAATGAGTCTTTAGTATGATGAGGCATTTGTGGGTGCAGGAGGGGCATGAAGAGCAATGAAATTTTTGTACCAAATTGCCGACAGTCTTGGGGTTCTGTTGAGAGTGGCATAGTCGACATGATGAAGTCCAAACCTTATGATGTATCCATCACTCCATTCAAAGTTGTCAAGCAGGGACCACACAAAGTACCCTCTCACGTCTGCTCCTTTCCTGTTCATGCAAATTTCAACTCACAATTTCTTAACCAATTTCCACTTATTTAAAAAACAAGGCTGGACACTTCAACAACCTATTAGACACGGGAAACAAATATATATATATATACACGTGACAAATTATTTAAGGAAAAAATATGTGGAAGCTTGGTATGTATATTTTCTTAAGAGGGTATGCCAACACCTTATTGCTGCTGCCAAGGAATCCAAGTAACCACGCAAGTAATCCACTCTTTCGACATCGTTGATTATTTCGTTATTGGTCGGATTGGAACTCTCCCTCGTCCCAAGTCCTATGCAAAGACAATAACACAATTAAAAGTTCATATGAGTGAGAAATTATTGTACCATATATGTCTAGTTCTGATCAATTTTCACTTTATATCTTCCAACTCTTTCTTATGAATTAAAAATCTCAACTACGTATTATGTAGAAATTGACCAAAACTATAGACATATGGTGATCATAGATTATAGAATAATATTTTGTCCATAATGCTCACCATTTTCCGTAATGAACATTGGTATGTTGTTGTACCTGTGCTTTATATAAGTCACCATCTTTTCCATGCCTTGTGGGTGAACATACAACCAGTCAAGTGCAGTCTATATGCATTAATTAACATATTATTGACCAAATGGAACGTGAATAAAGAAAAGTTATATATAGAGTTTCATATGTATATACCGGTTCTCCAATGCTGATGCCATTCATTTGTGGCGATTTTAGAGCATAACCTTCCGTCCTTGAAGAGCCTCGTCCAGGTTCACACTCAGAGAAGATGCAGTCTTTTACAAAGAAACTGGTATAGTGGTTTACTCCAATGAAATCTAATCCACTCTTGAGTTTTTCCATATCTTTTCTTGAAAATGCTGGCAGGTCTTGTCCCAATATTTCACGCATTTCCGCTGGATACTCCCCTAGGATAATTGGGTCCAAAAACCTGCACAATTCATTTTTCATCTTTGCAAATTGTAGAGATAATCACTTTAATCACACTTTTTTTTAAAATAAAAAATTTAGACCAATGTAATTGTCAATTTATATATTTATTTGGTATTTTTTTAGTCTTAAAGACTTAAATGACAATATTTTCTAAATTTAGAGACCAAAATAACTATTTATTTTTGGATAAACAAAAATAAAGGCTTTACCAAGTCATATAAAATGATTGAGCTCGCTCAGCAGCTAACTTGTCTTCCGAGGAGTTGCTGAAGGGTTCATGCCATACAGTATTCATCACAATTCCAATGCTTCCTCCTTGCTTTTTCTGACATTCAAGTAGAACATGATTAAATTAATTAATACGACCACAATAGGTGATCATTTAACTAATAAAACTAGAGATGTCATTAGGTTAGTGCTCTCAATTTATAGGATATAATAATGCTACTCTTGCACATTATTCTTTTAATACTCATGCTCTAGGCTTACCATTTATGAAAAGAAATTAAGGCAAGAAAGAAGAGGAGAAATATTATATATGTTAAGAATAAAAATAAGAATATGATCACAAGATTATCTTATGAATAGAGGAATTGAATTTGTACAATATTTTGTATAACAAAGATGAAACTTATTTAAATATTACCTGATATTTGGTTCTATAGAGATGAACGGCAGTGGCATGGGATAAGAGAAGGTTATGAGCTACAATGAAAGGTTCTCTCTCTGAGTCCCCAACATAGCTGCAGTTGCCAAATGAAGCAGAACAACGAGAAGGTGGCCACATCCCTGTTCTATAACCACGAATACTTGCAACGTTTGGTTCATTCAAGGTCACCCAGTATTTTACTCTATCTCCAAAATTCTTGAAGCAAATGTCCGCATAATACCTAAAATCCTCCCTAAGGACATGGTCCATCAACGTTACATTTACCAAACATTGACAATAGTTAGCAACACATTCTTTAACACATTTTACTTACTGAATTTCATCACTTAGCCAACCTTTATATCTCTCCTCAAGTTCTTGGGGAATGTCATAGTGTGATAATGTCACAAAAGGTTCTATTCCTAACTTCACAAAAACACAAATTATTCACTTATCAAATAGTGTGCTAATATTAGGATAAAATTATAAACACACAAAGTAATTAACCTCTGTTGAGAAGTGCATCAATTAGGCGGTTATAAAAATGAATTCCTGCCCAGTTCACCTTGCCAAATCTACCCTCTGGATTCAATTTAGAGTGAGAGTTAGAAAATAAAAATAAAAATAAATGCAGCTTGTTATTTAAAAAAAAAAAAAAAGAAACTTACTGGGCAGAATTCTGGTCCATGATAATGAAAAACGATAACTGTTGACTCCAATGTGGTGCATAAGGTTCACGTCTTCCTGTTTTTGAATTTCAATATCCATTAAATAACCAGCAATATGCCAAAAGCATTTTCATTCTAAGAATTAGTTCTTAGTAGCAATTCTTTATTAACCTTTCGATATAAGATTTTACAATATTTACTAGTAATTTTTATTCTAACGTTAGAATCTAATTTAAGTTTTTGTCTTATTTTAGTTGGTTTCATTTTATCTTTTCACTTACACAAAGATCTTCGTTTAAACTTGAAAAATTATTTTCTAATGATTAAACAACATTGATTGAATACAGTTTAATTATATAAGTAATTTTTTTATAAGAACGCTTTAAAAATATATTTACTGTTATTTTCAAGTTATTTAACTTTGAAAATAAATTCTCAATAATTTTAAGGACAATTCTAAAAATTATACAAATTATTATCAAATTTAAATCCATCAAATAAATTAATTAAACATTTCAATTATCGTGAAGTTGTTAAAAAGAGTCTTATATCAAGAATTGGATATATGAATTTTTAGTTGCTAAAAATAAAAAAAATAAAAAATATGTTCATTTAATTTTTGGCATAAAATTTGAAAATAATTTTGTTAAATATAGAAAATAAATAAATACATTTTAAATAAAAAATTTAAAATATTATTAAGTAGCATGAGTATATATAAGCCTTTTATATTAAAAAAAAGTTTATTTGTCATGCATTGAATGATAAAGGTTGAAATATAGATGGATGAAAATTTAGGTTATAATATTTTTATTAATAAAAAATAATTTAATTAATAGTATAAAAAAGTTTACATTCTCATTTAGTTATAAATGATCATATTTGACTGGTATAAATTCTTTGACAGTGCAAGCTATTTCCAAACTATTTCTCTCACTAGTATATTGAAGAACATTAATAATGAAAGCCATCAAGGTCTGAAGGAACTTGGAATTATTTTTGACTTATGTTGTTTAGGAAGAGAAATAGACACAAAATATCCTATGCATTTATTGGATAGAATATGTGCATTTCCATTCTCCAATCACAAGTTAGGTTCAAGCCTGTAGGGAGATACCTAGATACTAAGGGTCCATCCTATCCTATCCTATCCCTCCTTTAAGTGTGTAGGGCTTAAATAATTTAACTAAACACTATTCGATCACCACAATATAACTATTAAATCAAACCAAAAAAATCAAATAGTAATTAACTTTATTTGAGTGACTAATAATGAAAGTTTCACAAGGATTTCTTAGTTGTTGCCAGCATTTTCTTTTCTTTTTCAAGTGATAAAGTGTGTTTAGACTTTTTCAGTTGAACTAAACGTCATATATACCTTTTTTTTTCTACGTGTTGTGCATTAAAAAATTTAAATGGATTTCCAAACACACTGACTTGACATATAATTAATTGTTGCGTGAGGCTATAAATTAATTCAATTTTGACAAAATAAGAGTCAGATTAGAAATTTGACTACACCCCCATGAAAAGAAGACAAATATAATTGTTGGGTCATATATATAAGAGCATCTCTGGTGGTGGAGGTTGCTTATAAGCAATCCCCTCTATCACATTATTATCAAATTAGCACTGATCCATTTTATGGGTTGTTTAAATTTTAGCAAAGTTATTAATACAAGCAACTCTGTTAAAATTTAAGAAATCTATAAAGTGAGCCAGTACTGATTTAGTAGTGATATGACAGAGAGAGTTGTTTATAAGCAACTCTTATCTAGGTAAAAAATATTACTTGTATAAAGTGGAATCGTTTTGGGGTCCATATTCTCGATTTTGCTATCAAATCTTTTCCTAGCAGGGGGCCCGAGCTAATCGGGCAAAAATAGAAAGATACCTGATAACGATGGTAATGATCAACAGCAACGTCACCATTACTTCCATCAATTATTTTGCCTGCAATGTGACGTAACTGCATAGAGTGAGCCATACCAATAAACCTTTTCTTTAATTTTGTAAATCAATGTGTTTATAATAATATAGTATAATTAAAAGTTATAATTAATTATAAGTATAATTTTTTTTTATATTAATAGTATATAGATGATTAACTTATTTATTTATATTTTTTTTTTAAGTTAATCATTTATATATTATTAATGTAAAGTTTTTTACATTAACAATTAATCATATTTTTTAAATTATTTTATTTTATATTTATTTTATTAAATAAATAACTACCATGACATTGTTAAAATATATAATTGGTTACTAGATGATTAACTCTTTTTCTTTCATTTTCTATTATACTATCACTTATGATATTCTTTTAACTCTCTCCCCTTTGGCATTTTATATTTCTCTTCCATGCATCTGTACCTTTCAAGTCGAGGTAAACATTGTGAATGGGAGAAAGAGGAAAGAAGATAAAGGAATGAAAGGAGTGCATATTCTTTTTTCTTTTTTAAACAAAAAACAAAATTCTTCCTCTGCTACATATATGGAAACAAGAGAAGAAAGAAAAAAAAAAAAAAAAAAACTGCGAGTCCTACACCAAAATTAGATCTCTCCAATTCGGTGGAGAAAACAAAGAGTAAAAAAATTAAAATTATTATCATAATTACATCACATGCAAACAATATGATTATACTTCATTTTTATATATCAGGACTATTTATATCCTTTATAAATATACTTTTATATTTTCTTTCTTTCATTTTTTTAAAATTTCTCTTCTATTAAACAATTAAATAATTATCTAATTTTTTTACTTATTTTCTCTCCCCACTTCTTATTCTTTTGTTTCCCCTTCATGTTTCTTTCATAAACAAAACATTAATATATATTTTCCTTAAGAGACTTGCTGATAAGAAGGGAATAAAGCGATTAATTTCTAATTCTCTTTAAAAACTAATTTACCTTTATGCTTTTAATTAAAATCATAAATTAAAAAAAATAACGATATTTTAATATTATACTAAAAATATTTTAAATCATCTCCATTCTCCTTCAAGTCAGCGGGAATAGTAGAGTAATTAAAATTAGATGATACGAAAAATTATTTCCCTCTATTTCTCCTAAAATTTTATGAACATCTCTCTCCTTTTCTCTTGGCTCTCTCCCTTTCTACCTCCCTCCAACTAAATATTATATTTAAGAAAATAATGGAGCACCAAGTAATAGACGAGTAAGAATCTGAACCAGGCTCATGAGTGAAAACATCCCAGTTACTTAGTCCCTTGCCATCAGTCAAGTAAGCTCCTTCAAACTGAAAAATCATTCATGACTTGGCATGTTAAGTACTCAAGATAACTAGAACAAAAAGTGAGAGAAATATAATCTTAATTATATACATATATATATATATATAGTCTGTATTCTATAAAGAAAAGGTGCAAAAGAACCTGATATGAAGAAGATGCAGTTCCAAAAAGAAAGTTGCTTGGAAATGGAGATGAACTTGAATTCTCTTTTACGGATAGAAAGTCATCACAGGATCCCAAGAAAATTGAGAAGCAAAAGCTAAGTGCAAAGAGCGGTAGGAGTGGAAGCTCCATCATTTGTGTGTATGTGTGTTGAGGGAATCTCATGCAGTATCAAATGTAGAAATTAAGAACCTATTATCAACGAATATATATTGAAATGTCAATGTACTCATAAAGTGAAATTCACAGTTGACACCAAAATCATTGGCCTTGTTTTTTGTTTGTTTTTGGTTCAATACATAATTCAGCTAGTTAGTTAGGTTTTTTAATTTTAATTATATTAACTCAGAAATACCGTTTAGTTATAAACATTTTACTTAGTTTTCATCAACTTTTGGTTGCTGGTATTTTTTCTTATATCAGTAAGAAAAGCACAATAATAATGATGAAATAACGATCCAACCATTGAATTTAAAGTTCTTGATGCATAGATTAAGTCTGCAAAATTTTGAAAATCATTTGATACTTCATTTCATTAATTCAAATTGATGAATAATCATAAAACCATTTTATATATTGATTTGAATTAATGAAACAAAGTATAAAATGATTTTAAATTTTTTTAAAAAATTTACAAATTTGATCTATGCATTAAGAACTTTAAATTCAACGGTTGGATTGTTGAAATTTGATGTAGAACATGAGTTATTGAACGAAGTAAATATAGGTAGACTTACTCTTAGAGTAAACGGATCTCTCATATATATCTATATGAGGAGGGTTCAAACGACACCAGTGTAACTTTTACAAAGTGTTACACCGCTAAATAAATTTATATTAAATGTGAATTTTGAAAATCCAACCGTTAGATTGAAAGTTCATATCTCTTAGATCATATATATCAAATTTTATATTAATCTAAGATGATTTGATACTTCATTCTCATAAAACAAAATTGATGTAATATATACACTTCAAAATATACTAAAATATGAACACTTTGATTACCTTCAAGTTGTTGTTCAATTTTAACAAAATTTGATATATATGATCTAAGAGATATGAACTTTCAATCTAACGGTTGGATGTACAAAATTCACATTTAATATAAAGTTATTGAGCGGTGTAACACTTAGTAAAAGTTACACCGGTTATGAGTATATATATATATATATATATATATATATATAGAGAGAGAGAGAGAGAGAGAGAGAGATGGTTGTATGGTTGAAATTGTAGAGATGTATAGGTATGCTATAAATTTATGAATGTTGTTAGATTTATATCCATTAACTTGGAGTAATGAATATAAATGAATGTTGTTGAGGTGATTGTTGAAAATGCTTTAAGTATTTAAGTATGGTGTGTTGACCTATTGAGGTGTTGATGTTGAGAATGCTATAAGCATTAGAGCATGTTGACTATTTAGGATTACAGGAAAGGATGTTTTTGAAAGTTGAATATCCTATTGTGTGATATTGGTATGATGTTCTAGGAGGCTAGTTGTTGAAAACCTTCATCGAGTAGATGATAACTCTTGGAATGGATTATATAGTCTCCAATAGGTCCTTATTCAATATTGGAATAAGGTATGAAATCGATGACTATCATTCTTAATTGATTAATGGAGAGGTGTGTAGTATTGCAAGGATAATGAGTGAATTAATCCCACAAGTGACTTGGTTAATCTATGTCAACGTTGTGGTAAACCCACATTGTAACACCTTCTATCCTTCATGCATAATAATATAAAAAATAATCTTTTTGAAAAGAAATACTTTATTATATATAGGGATTCGTTTATTCCATAAGTAAGTCTATCTAGACTTATTCCGTTCAATAACTTATGTTCTACATCAAATTTTAACGATCCAACCATTGAATTTAAAGTTCTTGATGCATAGATTAAGTCTGCAAAATTTTGAAAATCATTTGATACTTCATTTCATTAATTCAAATTGATGAATAATCATAAAACCATTTTATATATTGATTTGAATTAATGAAACAAAGTATAAAATGATTTTAAAAAAAAAGCTTTATATATATATATATATATATATATATATATATGGATTATAAGAATTAAAGAACGTTGACATGTGAAGGAATTGGGTATTAGTTATTGAAAAGATTTTTTTTATCAATTAAATCTTAATAGGTTTGTTGGGGAGAGTAAGTATACTAGTCAACAAGTAATAAAAAATTAGTATTTAAAATAAATATTATTTTTCTAATAATTTTTTTTCTGTATTGGATTAATCAAACTCTTGATTATAATAACTTGATATGTTACTATACTTATTATAATTTAATCTTAACATTACGGAAAAAAAATCAACTAACTTATGATTATCATACAATAGATACATGGTCATTCATGCATATAAATATATGTATATGATAGAAAACTTAAAATAGTTATTATACATATGTACAATCTATACAAAATACCACTGAATATAAAATAAACCTATTCTTCGATAGGGATGACAAGTAAATATATACCTATGGGTAATGCTTGAACATGCCCCAACTTTGATATAAAAAAAAAATCCAATTTAACTATGCATGGGTATGAGTATGAGCAATATCCGACTTATTGAATCATATATGGGTATGTGGATGGGTATATACATATTTGTCATGTACCCGTACCCATTTTAAATTTTTAAAAACTTATATCTTTTTAGAATTTACTTAATATTTATGTAATTCTTACTTTATTATAAATTTATTTCAAATGAAACTTAATTGATGTAATTTTTTAATTGTTATTTTATGTTGAATTTTTAAAAATATTTCTTAACAAAACAAATATTTAATTAATTTTTGGGTGAATACGGGTATACTTAATACTTGATAAAGATGGAAATGGGATGCAAATTTCATACTCATCAAGTATGGAAACGATGATGGGTATAGGTTATGGAAACGGGGATAGGGGACGAGAATATTGAAACCCATACTCATCCTATCTCGTTCCATTGCCATTCTTACTTGTCGATCAAGTGTCTATACATGACCAAAATTACATAAGAGTAGTATCATCACAAAAACTAGTCATCTTCAGCATGACTCTCAACCTCTAGACAAGTCAATCTTGTTAATCATGTCTTATTCTCATACAAAATATGATCATTACAATTTCGACCATAAGAAAAAGAAGGGTAAACTTGTGAAAAGAATCAACATACATGATAACATGCAATAAGTAGTAACTTAATAACAACTTAAGTAACTAAATTTGTCAACCATGCAACTTCACTTATCATCAACTACCATATAAACAACTTACAACATGATACAACTTATCAAGTTCAACTCAACATGTTAAACATAAACAACAATAAACAATAAATGCATCATCACGCATATCAACTATGGAGATCTTCAACAACAAATGTAAACAGTTTAAGTAGTTAAACCCTATCAAATCACAGTGTTTGATCTATTGCAACCAAGTCAGATACAAACAACTTCAGAGCTCTCAAAGTATCTGTTTACAACTTATTTTATTTCTCAACTTTTGTCACTTAAATTAGGAAGTATAGTATTATTATCAGGGTAGAAAAATATGTGGGTATGAATCTACCACGACATTAACTTACAACACAAAACCTTCTATGAGATTAGCCCACTGACTACCTTCCAAATATTAAGTTCTTTTAGTACTCAATTAGGAAACTAAGTTCCCAACCTTGTATCTCACTTGGTTGGTCATTTTAAACATGCATGTCTCGACCTTGTTCACATATAGATTTTTACATGCAATTTAGAGGAGACAACTTTAAAAATAACTACCCATTTAGAAGTTAGATTACTTACCAAAAGGTTTTAACTCAAACTCTCAGAGCACCGCAATTTATATTCGCATAATAAAATATTTTAATTTCTAAAACAACTTTTACCCTCCTCTAATTTTTTATGTATCTCAACAAAGACATGTATATACACTATATGCCTAACAACTTCATCAACTATAACAACACACAATTTTACAACCTAATCATTTATCAGCTTACAAGTTAACAACATAAATGTCATCATATACTATACAACTTGAAACATAATGAACTATCATCATATCATCTTCATCATACAACTTAATCATCATCTATAAATCATAAAACAACTTAAACATCACTTTAAATTAAATTATGCAACTTATTTCCAGTGTCATCCCTGGACACCCAACGCCATTGAAGCAGGAGGTTTCTTATCTCACTCACGTCTAATGTCAAATCCTAAACCCTAAACCCTAAACAATAAAAAAAAAGAAAAAATAATGAATCAATTAATTAATTTACTAATTGAACATAAACAATTATGATTGATCTTCTAAATTCTATATATTCATATAATTAACTATAATACACTTAAATCAATCAATCGACTAAAATTATATCGACAATTCTCAATATATCGATGGAAACAAAAGAATAAACCGAGAAAAAAATATTAAATTAAAAAATGACAAATACTCAATACATGATCTAGTAAAATCTCAACTATGATTTTAGTAACTATAATAAAGAAAAAGAAAACAATAACATATAATCCAAAAAAAATAGGTAATAAATAGGAGAATAAAAAAAATCCCATTTGAGAATAATAAATAGGACTTAAAAATATCCTTAATAAATAGGACAATAATAATAAATAGGACTTAAAAATATCCTTAATAAATAGGACAATAATAATAAATATGACTTAAAAAGAATTTGGTAGATTAAATGTTTTTAATTCTTGAATTTTTGTTAATTTTTATATTTAGTTTTGAACATTTTTTTCTCTTAATTTTAATTCCTGAATTTTACTTTTAGTTTTAAATTTTATCTCTCGTTAACATTTTAATCTTTCACATCTAATTTTTTTTTAAATTATATTTTAAGAACTAAAATAAAATAAAATTTATTTAAAAACTAATTGACAAGAATTTATATACTCAATTACATACTTAATCATAAATATATTAATATTGAAAGCATGGGACCAAAGAAAAAAGGACGGCAACAACTTGCAATGGCCAAGGCCAATGGTACCCCAAAGCTTACAACGCTCCAAAAGAGGTAGAATGATAAGACTCTGGAAATGTCTACAACAACTTGCAAAGTGGTTCCATGCTTAAAAAAGTTCAATTAAGAGAGAAGACAAAAGATGAAAGATTGATAGATACATATATA